TAAATTATATCCACATTTAATGTGAAAAGTATTTCATTATCATTTCCAAGTGTGGAATGAGTTGTGTCTTTTTAATTAACCAGGTTTCTGGGATACACAAATCCTAACAGTTCCCATGTTGCCAAATAAAAGGTTCCTATGGCCTATACCAGAAAAAAGATAGGCTCCCCGAAAAGTAGCAATGAAATCATTTTACTGTGTATGTAGCATTTCTTAAAGGGAAAAGTCAGGTGAAGAGTTAGGTGATTTTTGCACACACAGATCTTATTTCTTGATGACTGCTTAGGCTCACAGAGGGCCTGAGTGACTTTAGGTGGGAGAACCGGATCTGTTTGCTCTGGAGAAGCGAGCACAAGTCCTCCAAGGAGAGGCAGGGAGACAGATGGCTGGCTATTGTGTTACAGGCATCATCTGCTAGGTCATGAGCAAATATTAAGTGAAAAATATCCATGTGATTGGTGTGAAAGCACAGCCGCAACATCGGCAGCGCAGGAGGGATGGGAACTTGTGCACGTTTGTGTTTCAAAGAATGCCATGCGGACATGTTAGATATACAGGGTTAATTCATTTTAAACTGTGGTAAAGTGAACATTTGTCCCCATCTTTGACACTACTGTGCAATATTTTGAATGGAAATGGCCAGTAATGGCCCCTTTTTTTATTTTCCATAACAACACAAGCACTAAATTATAGCTGTGCAATTATGTAAACAATGGAAATGCTTCCAGAAGGAATCCTTCCTTTTAAATTTTCATTTTGTGTAATTGTTGGAAGGTTTAGAGCTGTAATAAACAAAATTATTTTACACATTTATCATTCTAAAGGTCAATTATAAGAGAACTAAAGAAGCAGCCCTGTGCAGAATGAGTAAGCCAATTTGTGCTGCCGTCACCATATGTTTTCCTTATCACGTATAGTTTTTCCAGTTACTGTGTACATAGCGTTCAATTAAAGCGATTCATTTGAGGGGCTGAATGCAGTTTGTGTTTATAGAACTGCGCTTTGGAGGAGAGGAAACAACACGCCTCTATTTGAATTACCTGATTTTTTGCAAGATCAGTGATAAGAGACAGATGTTCTCACCAGTTGCTTTCTCATAAGCCTGAACCTTGTGATAAGCTGCAAAGCCACAATTATCATCTTACAGTCTAGCTTTTGAAAGCACTGAGCATTGAGCTCGCACATGGACCTTTCACTAAAACAGAAAATGCCAGTGTGTGTCCTGCTTACCGTGTGGCAACAGGTCACAAGGTGGTTTCTTTCCAGCAGAAACAGTTTGTCTGCTCTGCCCTCATCAGCGTAAAGAATAAACCTGAGTCCTGTTCCAGGCTCCATTTGCCACTCAGCCTGTTGTCGAGTTTAATTTCTCGTTTAGTCTGTTTAGAATGTACAGAAGAAACCGATTCTTACTACCAGACTCGCTTGTTTGAGGCAGGTTATAGAATTCCTCAAAAGAAAAAGCTTAAAGAACGTAAAGATCTTGTTCCCAATTTTGCTTTTGTTTTTTTTTTTTTAACCCCCAAGTTATATACATGATCTCTAATTTCTTGTTAAAGAACTTATTTTAGGGGACTGATTGCTGGAGTTTTTTAATTTCTGGGGTAACATGATCAAAGAGACTTGTCTGTGTTATCTCTGAAATGTTTTGAGATACCCTTCCTCTATAGGTCATAAACATTCATTCAGTAAATTATACCAGCCGAACCTATGAAGTAAGTTCTGTGAGGTAAAAATGCTTTCTTATTGAAAACACTGCGAGCAATCCTGTTTACTCCTGTGTGGCCTTTGCCTCCCTGCACAAAGCACCTCTCCATATCCCCACCCCACTGCCCACTGCTGTTCCTGGGTGGCCCACAGTCTGTGACTCACTCAGGCCTGATGGCTCCACTTGTAGGGTTCCTCGTGGGGAGAGTCTGAACACAGGAAAATTTCCCAGCAGCAGTTATAGTGGTGGTAGCTTCGAGAGAAGGGGTCACACAGTAAGAAAAGCAGCCCCTTGCCCCAGTACAGTCTATCCTTATGACATTCTCAGGCTAGGAGGGGACAGCTTGACCACTGTCGTGGGCCCTGTAGCATTGCAAACCAGTGTTTTTAGAGAACTGTGCCTGTCTCAAACTAAGAGCTTCTGGCATCTAGTGATGTTTGTAGCAAGAAATTCAGCACCATTTGCTTGTTAATATTATATTGGTTTTAAGGAGTATATTCTGTTTCTGACAAAGGGTAATCGTTTTACAGTATAATTTTACATTTCAGAAAGGTCACTTTGAAAACATCTTCTAGGCAAACCATGCTTTAGAGGGAGGCATGAGGACTGCCCCTTGAGTGATGGGTATATAGTAACTGCCATTCTGTCTTGTTTATATAATAAAAGCCATGTCAGCTGAGAGTAAACAAGCAGAATGTGGAGAATTTTGTTTTGTATTTCCCAAGATTGATCTTAATACCTCGAGGTGGAGGAGTGGAGTGAAAGAATGGTTTTTCTATGAGTTAGAAATGAATGGAGCTCATCGTGGATGGCCCTTGGTTGAGAACATGGATGGCAGATGCTCTCCTGAGTACCATGTGGCTATTCCTAATTTTAAAGTGTTATCTCAAAGATAGACCCTTTGGACTGCTCCATTTCAGTGTAGATAAGCAAAGTAAGCCAGCATGTGGTGGTAATTTGGCTGACTGGTCATATGCCCCCCTCTTTAACCCCCACATTAACCCTGACCCAGTGTTGTCTTTGGTAACTACAGCAGAGGCACACTTTCCCTACAGGCTCTGACTTACGTGGGTGGCAAGTAGGGTAGGCTTGCCATCTGTTATTGTCCCTCTCTTTCCCATCTCTTTGCCCATAGAAGCAGCTTCAGTTGAAGTCACTGGCCCAGGTCCAGGGACTGGATGAGCCCTGTGACTTTATCTCAGCTACATGTGTATCTGCCATCTTTAGCACCAGTGATGATTTTGTAGTTTCTTCTGAATATATTTCCCCCCCTAGATCTTTATGCATATGTAACAACGAAGCAAGTTTTACAAATTATGGTTTCAGCTTGCTAAAGGATTCAGTTCCCAATTCCCAAAAACCTATTCCAGAAAACCGTCTTTAAACCAAAATTCTAAATTCCAGTGGTGAAAATGGCTCATTTTAGTTTAGTGTGTGCTGAAGATTTAAAAAGCCCATAGGCTTCAAGGTTTTAGCTCCTCATCTCAACAGATGGAATTAACGCAAACATAACAAAGCTAACATCATGACTGTTTGCATTATTAATCTTCAGATGCATGGCATTCTGCTACCTTGCTAGCCAGGTTTGCACGAATCCTTTCATTGCAGCATATGTCAACAGAAATGTGCTTCCATCTGCTGCTGGATAGCTTGATGCCTGATATTCTGAGACAAGGCCCCAGCACAATGCATACCTCTGTGAGTAATTACAGGTGTGTGGTGAGGAGCCCAGGGCATTAATCAGAGGCTTAATTATGAAAAAGGTAGATCTTTTGTTCCAGTCCTGGAGCCTAAGTCTACCACACACTTTCTAACCTGCAACATCCATCTGCTCAGTCCAGAGAATGTTTGTCTTGGCTGATAGGAACCCTAAAGTGTATCGCAGGACATGATTAAAGCAGGCTTAAATATTAACTGGGAGAAAACCTTGGTTCTAGTTTTTCTTCCATTCCTTCCTTTTATATCTGTTTCTTTCTATCTATCTATCTATCTATCTACCCACCCACCTAATCTTTTATCTGTAAATCATGTTCACTTTTGTATAAGAAAAATCCATTGAAATGCCAAACTTTTAAGTTTTAAGCTAAATTGCTTATCATATGCAAACACTAATATACTAAGTATTCTAAGGTCATTTGAAGCACAGAAATAGTATTATTTATATAAATTAAATTAATCTACTATAAGAAAAATGTCTTGGGAAAATATTTTGTGAGCACATGCAAGTTGTGTTTAAGAAGACAAGTTATGAAGTGAGATAAATCTGTTGAAGGGCCTAACATAACTTTGGAAATTAGCATGTTGCTATGCTTTGCTTTGATTTATTAGTTAAGACAGGACTATTTTGAAGGGCTTATTCAGATAGCCACACTGACAGCTAAGGGTCTTATGTTTTGCTATTTACTTATATATAGACAGTAACTATTGGTTGCCTGATGGCAAGTCAAATAACTAAAGTACTTCAATGTGATGGGTTTGATTTATGTGCCAGCCTAGAATCTGTGTATAAGAAGATTGTAGTTTTCATTCTAATCCCACTTATACATGCATACACTCACACAGATGGCTTTAGAGGGGGCCTGGCCATGATGGTGTGAACACTGCCCTGTGGTGGATCTGATCCCGCACAGGCAGGAGTGAGGGACTGGGGGTTGGGGGCCAGCCAGCCCTCCACAGGAGTCCATTATAGGCGCAGGATGGAGAGCTGGCGGGTAGATGCTCCTGATGCCGAACTCTGGCAAATGGCTGCTGTTGGCTTTGTGTTTGTACCTCCTGCGCACATCAGATCTGTGGCAACTCCCTGACCCCGGTGCCTCGTGAATGTAAGACCTTAACACTGCCCACACTCCCATTACACTATTAGAGAATCTTATAGGCAAAGGAATGGAAGTTTTAGATTCTCTAATAGTGTGCTTTAGCCTCTGGGGATTGAAGCTAAAGATAGAGCCCAGTTTTTATTTTATGGGTGTTTGTGGGGTTTATTTATATGTCCATCTGAGCAGTCCTGTAGCTTGTTCCAAGGAACCCATTGTCAGGTGAGATACAGGACAGATGTTTAGCGAGCCTCAGTGCCACAGGATGGGTTTTGGATAAGTCATCTTACAGTTTGTTGTCTCCATTTTCCTTAACAAGATATGTGTACAGGAACCATTGAAGTTATGCGCCCTGCACTCTTTCACTTAGAAACCTATCACCTTTCTCTGCTCTCTTATGGTGGTCATGCATGTACACAAAGAAACCACTTTGGGATTTTGTTCTTAAAATTACAGTTGTATTTCCTTATTTTCCTTTTCAGGATGTCTTAAACACTATCATAAGAAACTGTTCACCCCGCTTTTTCTCCCTGGGTTTGCCTGGTTTCTCAATGCTGGTCGGGGACTTTATCACTGCTGCTGCCAGGGTCCTCAGTACAGACATGTTGGCGGTGAGTATGACAATGTTCAGCATCCCAGCTCCTGGGAGACTTCACAATTGCTAACAAGGCTCAGATTTCTCCACTCTAACAGGTGTTGACTCATTAGTGCAATGTGAAACTGGGCTCTCAGAGTAGATACCCTGGCAGCTGATCTGTGAAATTGTAGGATAAGATGACATACTGGTACTGGAAAGGCGTTTCATCAAAAGGCCAAAGTGTGAGAAATCATATCCCCACTAATGTCAGCACGGTTACACGAAAGCAGGGCCTGTCTTACAGACCCTCATTAGTATTTGCCAGTATATGTCATTATAGAAATAAATGCAGTAAAGAGAGAATTTGACGTGTATGTCCAAAGTAATGTGTTGTTGTTTTGTTAAATTTAGTTTGGTTACTGTGAGTCTCATGGAAAGAAACAGAAGTGCTCTTCCACTTAGATTTAAAGTGTCTTTCCCACTTGTGCTATATGTACAAACTATTAATCTAGTGCGTCACCACCCCTTGAACTCTGTAAAGATGATGGTATTTTGTATTTGCCAGGGATTTACCCGAAGTCAGTATGAGTAGTCGGGATGCTAAATTTTGTCTGATATATGGTTAATCTTTCACTTTCATTGAAGGGTGATTAGGACTTGTAAAATTGATAATTTGTGATCATATTTTTATGCTCTAATGTCTTGTTATAAGGGAAAATTAGGTAAAGAGAAAGGAAGAGATAAGAACAAAAAGGAATAACGAGAAAAGGAAAAAAGGAGGAAGAAAAAAATGCAGAATTTCTTTAAAGATGTGACAACTTTTCTCACTTTGTTATTTCTTGATTGGAAGAAATCATCTCCAGAGAACCTTCTTGTTAAGGGTTAACCCTTCAAGTTGGCACTGAAAAAAAATTACACGACACAGACAGGAGAATCGTACTTTGTTAGAATTTTATTGCCTGCTAGTTCTTCTTTAGAACATGTTACAGCCCTTTATACGATAGCACAACACATGGTGAGTTCTCTGTTGACATGGATCTTATGCCTAGGTGAGCTATTTAAAGTAACCTTCCAAACATACATTGGTCGATGGGCATTTAAAAAAAATCATCACCTTTATGTTGAATCAGAAATGCAAAATAAAACCACAAGACAATAAATTCCATTGTTAAGAGTTGTCATCACAAAGGAAAATATTGTTGTTGAAGATATGGAGCAATGGGAATCCTTGTATACTCTTGGAGGGAATGTAAATGATATAGCCATTGTTGAAATTTGAATGACCTTAAAAGATTAATGTAAGTGGAGTTTTTCATTGGGACCACCAACTCCCAAACAACAGAGACTCTTATTAATTAAGAAAGCTCAGCCTATAGCTTAGGCTTATTTTTCGCTAGCTCTTATCACTCAACTCATTTCTGTATGTCTATGTGCTGCACCGAGGCTCATTTACATCATCTATGTACTTTCCATGATGCTTCTTACCCATCTGGCTCTTGATCCTCAGACTCCACCCTTCTTCTTCCCAGCATTCTCACTGCCCTGAAAATCCTGCCTAGCTACTGGGCACTTAGCTTTTTTATTATACCAGTCATAATGACATATATTTAAATACCATAAAGAAATATTTCACAGATTAATCAAACCATTAAGTGACTTGATAATTCTACTGAGATATATGGCCAAAGGAAGTAGAATCTGCATTTGGAAAGGCGAGCTGCTTCTCATGCTCACTGCAACATTATTCCCAGTTAGCAAGTAAGAGTAACAGCTTAAAGTGTGTCCATGTGTGGGTGAACAAATGTGACACTTATAGTAGAATATTCTTCATCCTGAAAAACAGAGACACCTTGTCCCTTTGACAACATGAGAGGTTCCAGAGGCCACTTCGCCTGGGAAATAAGCCAGACATGGTCCTGCATCATCTCTGTGACATGTGAGCTCTTAAAAGTCAAATGAACAGAAACAAGGAGTTGTCTGGTGTTTGCTAAGGGCTGGGGAGTAAATAGGGCGATGTGGGTCAGTGTAGAAAGTTTCAGTACATTTTTTGAAACCTCCTCTACAAAATGATAATCATAGTTAAAAATACTGTAAACTTGAAGTTTATCAAGAGAGTGTTCCTCCATGAGAAAGGACAGCTATCTGAGATGATAGGTGGGTTAATTAAGCTTAATTGTAGCTTTCATTTTATGTGTGTGCTTTTAACTATATACACAGACATACATGTTATACCTCTTAAATCAGTCATTCCCAACATTCCTAACCATAAAATTATTCCATTGCTACTTCATAACTGTAATTTTGCTACTGTTATGAATCGTAATGTAAATATCTAGCATGCAAACCCCCAAAAGGGTCACTACCCACAGCTTGAGAACCACTGTCTTAAATATAATTTTATCTGTCATACCTCAGAGATGAAGCTTTCCCAAATGGTGTTTTAAATGGAGAGACTATGAATATAATGGTTGTATGAAGGAGAGAACGACTCTTCTTGCTTTTTTGTATAAACTTCAGGTTTAAAGCTGTGCACCTGCTGAGAGGTGCTTGGAGGGAACACGCCCGCCCAGCCAGATTTTTTTAGGTATCACAGTTAATCAGAAATGTGAGGTTATCCTGCTTGCCCAGGCAACTAGAGAGAGAGAAAAGTACGTGCACAGGAACACATCTCCTGAAAGAAAAAAATCCCTGGATGCTTCCACACAGCAGCGATATTTAACAGCCAAGGCTAGAACCTATTCGAATATCCATTAGCAACAGAACAAAAACCATGGTGTGCACGTACTATGGAGTACTGTATAGCAGTTCACAGCAGGGAGCCCCAGGTCTAGATGGCTCTTTGACTGAGTATGAATCTGTGATTGAAAAGGACAAGAACTTTAGCTAACACTCCAAAGTTAGGTGGCAAGGAAATGGGCAGTTCCAGCAAGCGAGACCATCAGTCTCTTTGGAAAGTGTCCCAGAAGCCCTGTGATAAAAGGGCTCATACTGCAAGGGAGCTGTGAGCCGTATCAGATGCCTCTGAGGTCAGATGAGATTGAGACTGGAGGTGACCACTAGGTGTGGACCATGGAGGTCATTAGCCAAACTACTCACCATGCCTGCCTTTAGCAAACCTTAACAGTTCACCTCAGTCACTCTGAACTTCATGTTTAAACAAAGCATGCCTAGTGCCTTTCTCCATGATGTCATGGCTGCATTCCCAGCTGGCAGCACTCTTCCCCCGTCTCTCTTTGGATGACTACCTCCAACTCCCCTCCATATGGATGGCCTTGCTTTTTACTTGAAAAATAATGTTAAGTCGTTCTCATTTATCCTGCTCTTTCTAGATCACAAACACTGAAATGATTTTAAACAGCCGTGACAGAGCCATTTGCCTTTCTGATTCTAAATGGGTTTGTAGATTGGTTTTCATAACACCTGTTTACATCAAATGTAGAGATGTTTTCCATTCCCTGGAAATTTGCCTTTTCATTTAGACAAACTTCTTGTGCCTAAACATCCACCAGGAAAATAGCCATAAATAGTTTAGCACTTAATATCTAGAAGGAAAAATAAAGATTCCCTCTCAAAACCAGAACAAAGTAAAACATGTTCTTCAAGCTCCCAGCCTATGTGAAGGAACTTGGTGCTTCCCTCCTTGTGTGCAGGCACCCCGGGCAGAAGCTCTCACTCTCCTCGGCTCCCTCGTCTGCTTCCCAAATACCTACCGGAAGATCCCTCTGCTGCAGTCAGTGTCAGAAGGGAGTGAGGTCGGCACAGGAACGGAAGATGTCAAGGTACATAACCGAATCTTGAGTTTAGTGTCTACAGCTGGAGTTCCGTCACTGTCTTCCATCCTCTGCACTGATCTCCTTTCCCCTGACAGTTGTTGTGTCTTCTGAAAGCTTCAGCAGTTGTTTTCAGAAGTGAGTTGTATGAACTGTGAATGGCCACATTCACAGCTGCTGCAGTTAGACCTGATAGCTCTGTTCCTCTGGTGGTTTATTTTTTTATTTCTGTTTATTATTCCTAGGGATCATAATTATGTAATGAATCATCATGTGTAATAATTCTGTTAGCTTAGTTATACTACATTAGTGTAGCAAATGAATTTATAAGAAATAATTTCAACAAGCTAAATATTCAATCCCATTGGTGGCCTGATTAAATGCTACTAATAACCTGAAATTCCAAGTTATTTCTTGGGGAATAAAAGTAAGCATTTTTTTTCTGTCCTCAGCTGACATTTGGAGCAAACAGAAAGTCCCAGCACCAGTCAGTCAGTCCGTAACCCTGATTATAATCTGTAATTCAATGTGCAGTGTGTAATACAATCAAACTAAAATGGAGATTTTCCTATCTGGAGGTCTCAGATGCTTTGCTTGATTTCCACTGGATCCCTAGAAATGCTGTGCCGCAGGTTGGCTCGGTTACCCAGGGAGGCACTTGCTGCAGTGAGCCCAGTTCTCTCTGAAGGAAGGGCTGCCCGAACTCCCTGGCCTTGCGCTAGCTCCAGGGTGCCTGTGACATGGTCAGCACATGCGGGAAACCAACAATGACATCAAATTTTCATTTACTGAATTTTGTGTTTTTAGCATTACCTCATAAATATTTTACTGAAGAATGCTACCGAGGAACCAAATGAATGTGCAAGGTAAATGATGAACAAGAGGTAAACTATGTTAGAATTGTAAGATGCACATTTATGTATAAACAGCTCATGTTTTGAAAAATCCTTTCCATTTCTCTTACACACAGTGAAATGTATAGTAAACATTATGTCAGAAAAATGCTATGCTTAGCTACTTACATGTCATTATTACTAGAGAAAATAGTAAGTTTCAGAGTAAGATGGAATATGATTTTACATAAGAACATGCAAAATTAGAAATAAATAATGTTTTCAGATAGAAGCAGGGTTTAAGGAAACAGTTCATAAAGGCTGTATGTTTTGGGCCGAGATTCTGGGCTGATTTGTGCCTCAAGAGACATTTGGCAATGTGTAGAAACATTTGGGTGTTTCTGCCAAGCATCTAAGACTGCTACCGTATGTGACCAAGTAGGAGGCTTTCTAGGCCAGCTATGTGATAAGAAATCCTGCTCCTCTCAAGGTGTAGGCCAAAGCTGGGAATGCTGAGAGAGGCGAATATCCATCTCTCACTCAACTTCCAGCCTTGGAGGACCACTTTAGTCTCTGACAGCCTTGTGACAATTAGCACATGCCTTGGCCCTTCAGCACATGGGAAGACAGAGGCCCTAACTTTATTGTCTTGTGAACTCTGGTGATTTATTAACTTTTGTATTTTTCTGAGCTTCACTTATCTTCAGTAGATGACTTAGTCCAGTTTTTCCTAGTCTGCCATTTTCAGAAGCTATGCGTGTATTACCAGTTTGATAACATTGACCTAAACTTGGGTATGAGATACCCCCATCTTGATTTATAGGTTCTGATTCAGGTAATGTTTTGTTCAGGAAGTTACATTATATCCAGTTATAGTCCTATCATGCTTTCACCATGTTTGGATGTCAGGCAAAGGAGTTACGAAACAAGTAATGTATTCTTCTCCACACTCAGAATACCGTTTGCAGCAGTAGGATTAGTATCCTGTATCCAAGAATTTGTCCACTTCATCTTTGATGTTAAATATTTTGTGTATCCTCTGGTTGTAAGGCTAGTCTTGTTAGATTTGTCACTGTTGCTAGTCTTCTCAAGCAGGAAGGTTTTGTCGTTGCTTACCTCTATATTTGTTTTTATTTTCAGCTTTGGACTCTTTTGTACTCTTCTCCTTGTGATGTTCTTCTTTTGTTACTTTTGAAATTTGTATACTTGGTGTATTTTTTAACTTTTTTCTTTCAACATTTAAGACTATATGCTTATTATTAAGGGCTACCTTTTCCAAAGCTTATAAGTTTTTATATTCAGTATTTTTAAATTCCATTTTTTTCTACTTTTCATTATGATTCCTTCATGAGATCAAGAGGGTTTTTAAATTAATTTCCAAATATGGTTATTTCTATCTTTTGAAATGTTTTAGACTTAATCTAATTTTTTAATTTTGTATAAATTAATGTTTTGCTTAGAACTAGAATTATGAATGGATGTGAGCTATGTGTGGATGCTGGAAACTGAACCTCCTAGTCCTTTGCAAGAGCAAGTGCTCTTAACCACTGTCCCATCTCCACCCTCGTCTACCTTTTTTTGTCTCAAAATATGTGTGTGATGATTGTATTTAAAGTGGTTAATATTTGCCTTAGGACCCCATGTGTAGTCAGTTTTAGCAAATGTTCCATATATTCTTGAGAAGAATGTTCATAGGGGCTGGAGCGATGGCTCAGTGGCTAAAGTGCTCTTGGTGTTCTTCCAAAGGACTCGGGTTGGAATTTCAGCACCCATATCACAGCTCACAATCTTCTGTAACTCCAGTCCCAAGTTGTCCATGCCTTTTCCTAGCCCCCTTTGGCAGTACAAATATACATGCAGCCAAATACTCATAAGAATAAAATAAAAATGGAAAACATTATACTTAAAAAGAGGAAGAAGAGAATGTACATACTGTTCTTTAATCGTGAGGTATACTGTTCTAGATGTAGCCTTCCAGTGTTTCACATAGTCTGTATTTCTTCTGGAGTTTGTTTTGTTTTTATTAATTTGATCACTTACTGAAAGGTATATTAAAAGCTTTCCACCGTTGTACTTAACCTGTTTCCTGGAATTTCTGTCAAAGGCTATGATGTTATTAGTTGCATAAGCATTTGGAATTGTCCTATCTCTGTAGTGAGTCAAGTGTATTTCTGTTTATATGGCCCTCTTTATTTCTATGAATGTTTTGTTTTATTTTAGATACCCACTTTACCTGCTCCTAATTTCACACTATATAATACTTTTTATCTTTTCTAAATGGCTTTTCTTTATTGTCTTTATGATGCCTTTGCAAAAGCTGTATGTATCTGGATTTTATGATTGTATAAATTTGTGTGATCTTTGTCTTTTAATGGAGACTTTATTTTATTACCAGTGATCTTTTTGGCTGTGTTTTTCTTCTTATTTAATATTTTTAATTGGAACTCCTAAGCATTTCTCCTGTTTACTACATTTTTTCCTGCCTCTTCCTGCCTCTTCTTCTATGCCTTTTCCCCTCTCATTTGGCTTTTAATTTTTCCATACAATTTCATTTCCTGGATTTCCATTCAGTTCTCATAAAGGTTATTCTAGATATTTTACTGTGATTTTTAATAGTCTTGAAATAAGTTTGTCTTTTCTCACATCTACACATGCATGTCCCCTACAACAGAATCTGCTTTCCTCTGGCCAGTGCTCCTTCCCTGTGCTAATTCCCCTTCTCTACCTAACTTCTGCATATTAAAGTGACCCAATCTTTCCCCGTTACTGCCTACCTGTCTCGCACTTTCTAGTCAGTCTATAACTGCTTGTTGATTATCTCCAATTTATTTACCTGACTTTTTTTTTGTTTTTAAAGACAGAGTTTCTAAATAGCTATGAAGCCAGCCCTGGAACTCACTCTGTAGACAAGGCCGGCCTTGAACTCACAGATATCCACTTGCTTCTGCCTCCCAAGTACTGGGATTAAAGGCATGTGTCATCACTGCCTGGATTACTTGGCATTTTTAATGAATTTCTTACATAGCCAGGCTTAGATATTGAGCTGCGTACTTGATGCCTTAAGTTAGCTATCTTAACATCCGAATGTAACACAACCATAAATGAATCTTCCAGTGCCTTCTGACAGCCCCTACCCTATTAAGCATGATGCCCCTCAGATTTCATCTCAAGAAATGAAAATATTTAGTTAGGTTTTCAGATCAAAGTCTTGTGGAATATATCTGATTTTTTTTTAATCTTCTTATACCTCTCAAATAATCTTTGTAATTTGTTTCCCCTAATTTGTTCTATTTATGGAAAGTCACATTTCTCTGAAGAATAACTTATATTAGCATGGTGTTTAGAAGAAATAACAGTGAAAATGTATTTTGAAAGTTACTTTAAAAACAAATACAGTGTTTGTCTTACATTTGAAGTATATGCTGTACATACACTTTGCAAGGGAATATTCAGTAATCTAAGAACCATGCCTTTTATTCCTCCTCAAAATTATCTTAACAATAAGATGTAATAACAGTTGAGAGTCAACAAAAATGGGTGACATGGATTGTGGCAGTTAACAAAAAATCTGCCACTTGTTTGATGAAATATTTAAGTACTAACTAGCATTGATGATTCTGTTTATCCTAAAAACTGGCCCCCTGGAAGTTCTTTATCTTTTCTCTCATGGAAGATGGTCCATTAGTATAATTGTTGCTTCTTTGAATAAATAGATTTATTTTGTCATTTTAAAATACATTGAATTTCATCAGTGTTTTCCTCCCTTTGCTTCTCTTTTGAAAGATGCATTGCCATTTGCTCCCTCGGGGTCTGGATCTGTGAAGAGCTTACACAGTGTGCCAGCCATCCTCAGGTGAAGGATGCCATCAATGTGATAGGTGTAACTTTGAAGGTATTCTCATTTCTTAATGCTTTTTTGACATCAAGCTTTCTTCCAGGATTTTAATGATTTTAACGAGTTTTAATTTTAATTAGTCCATTCTTGTAGCTCCTTACACTGTAGAGAGACAGTGGTTTAAAAGTCCCATTCTGAGTCCCATGGTAAATCTTCTGTGAGGCTGCTACTGACTGCCTCACTGGGACAGCTGTTCTTAGGTCATTTATAGTTTATTTGTGAACCAAGCCTAGGCCAGTTGGACATCTTAGGGTATAATAAAGTGAGGTTTCAATCTGTGGCCTCTTTGTCATGACTGAGATAGGAGCCTGCAGCTTCCCCTTAGGAACTTGCATGTTCTCTTGCTGCCTGAACATAAGGCGTTTGGAGCATCTTCCTTCTTTGCTTTGTTATTGAGAGATGTGCAGTTTGTTGAGCATCACATTGAACTAGAATATTGGTAATCTCCAGATACTTTTTCAAGTTTCTATGATAGCTCTGCAAGGTGAGCACCACAATCCCTGTTTTACAGCTGAAAAGCACAGGAGGTCCTCTCCTATTTATATATTCTCAGCATGATGACAAAGGCTTTGCACATTTTACCTCTTTGACATCCACCTCACAAAAGGAAGGAATAAAGGAAGTGTTCAGGAGACTTGGGACATCAGGCAGTGTCTTAGTTACTTTTTCATTTTTATAAAGAGACACCATGCTGAAGCACCTTATAGAAGAACGAGTTTGTTGGGGCTACAGATGCAGAGGGTCCATGGCCATCATGGCAGGGAGCATTATGGCAGGCAAGCATGGTACTGGAGCAGTTGCTGGGAGCTCACATCTTAACACAGCAGCCATGTGGTAGAGCGAGATCTACCTGGGAATGGCATGGGGTTTTGAAACCTCACCCACAGTGACTTATTTTTCCAACAAGGACATACTTCCTATTCCTTCCCCAACAGTTACAACTACTGAGGACCAAGTATCTAAACATATAATCCTATGGAGATCGTTCTCATTCAGACTGCCACATTCCACTCTCTGACTCTCATACATGTGTGGTAAAACATAATGCAAACTGCATTCAGTCCAACTTCATAAGCCCCCCATAGTCTTTCACAGTTTAAAAGGCTAGAGTTCAAAGTCTCTTTTGAGACTCAAGTTAATCTCTTAACTGTAACCCTTATAAATTATAAAAGCAAATGTAATATTTCCAACATACAATAGCACAAAATATATATTTATTATTCCAAATGGGGGAAATCAGGGCATAGTGAGGAAATAATGGAATACTGAAACCTGGCTGAACAAACTTCAAATCCTGTAGCTCTGTGTCTGCTGTCAAGGTATTAGATGGCTCTACCTTTCCAGTTTTACTGACTGAAGCATGTATTAGCCTGTGAGGGTCATTTTCATTCAGGCCATCACAGACAACTTTGGGAAACACACCCAGAGTCACTGAACATTCCCTAGTCCGTGAATCTGCTTTTGAATCTGCTTTTACACATTTCTTAGTATGTTATATCTATATTATTTTATTTCCTCTGGTAGGAAGTCATTTGAATGATCCCTGTTTCTCTGTGTGTGAAATGAAGATAGCTTCTTCCTTACAGGGCTGTCAATGGCAATTTGTCATTGACAAAATGAGTTACATTTGTGCAGAAGGTTCAGCACACAGAGTCCACTCAACCATATACTCTATTTTAATTTCCTCAAGTTGTCAATAGTATGATTTCTATTAGCTGAATACAGAATTTTAAACTTTGCCTTTTATTTTCTAGGCAAACAATGACCACCTTTTTCTACAGATATATAAATAACGTAGGTGATTCCAAACAACCAGCAATGTAGCATGATGGAGTGGCCATGTGAAAATGATGTTAATTGGACATAGTTGTCATCAGTTGCACATGAGATATGCGTGTAGAGCTGGGAAGAGCAAACGGCCCTGTTCTTCCTCCAGCACATACACCCGCTGAGCTGCCCTGTTTACTTGGTTTTCTTTTTTTTTTTTTTTCTTTTTTTTTTGTAGTTTCCTAACAAGATCGTGGCTCAGGTAGCCTGTGATGTTCTTCAGCTGCTGGTTTCCTACTGGGAAAAGCTTCAGATGTTTGAAACTGCTCTACCGCGAAAAATGGCCGAAGTAAGTCCTTTATCTATAAAGCTAAAGCATCCGCATTTCCTTTTTAATAATGTATTTGATATCTAATTAACTGTATATCCTCCAATAATTGTTAGAGAAGCAACTATTAAACTGCCATGTGAGCCCCGTTTTTAGGCAGTGTTGGCTGGGTCGTCTCAGCTGCAATTTTAATCACTGTGCAAAGAAGCCTGCAGTGTTCCAGGGCCGAGGCTGATGCTTGGAGAGTTTGAAAGGCAGACACAACCACAACAAAGAGACCTTTTGTAGGTTGGGTTTTATTCATTGAAAGTAATTTGGATGGTGCCAACAAGGAGTAGGCAGCTGGTTTAATGCCTTCCGTGCAGGGCGGGGGCCCGGCTGTTGTGTAAAGCAAGAGTTGTTCCCAGTCTAAAGCCCTGGGCCACGCTTGCTGCTGTGGCATGGTTACTCGGCTGTAATGAGATCAGTGTAGTATTAACCTCTGAGGGGGAGGTGGCCAGGAGAGGAGGCAGGAGGAACAGGAAGTACTCAACCACAGCTTCTGGAAGGTTGGCTACAGCCAAGGGGTCTTTGCTAAGAGCCTAGCAGGGCCTAGCTCACAGGTGCCTGTGATAAGGCACACTTGTGCCTGGCAGTTTTTATGACTGTAGTTATTCAAGCAAGCCCTGTTTTTTACCCATCCAGTAGAGACTCTGAGGAAATTTGATTTGTCCCCCTGACAGTTGGCAGGGAGAGAGAATAGGTGATACAGATTCATTTTCTCCCAGCCCTAGACAAACTTCTTTGGTGGAGATCACTTTGTTCTCTCAGAATCACATCAAGTCACAAGTGGTTTGTGACCTGAAGTGACCTGGAATGAAATAGGCCTTTTACCCCACTGCAGAATATAAAGTTGGGTTTAGTGTCACCATGTAATTCTCCAAACAGGACACCTGTGAGAATGAATGGCATACTGTGATGTGGAAACAGGAGGTGGAGGCCTATGCTGTAGCAAATGGGAACCTTTTTATAATTATATTTGAAAACGTTTTCTTTTTTCACTTCACTGGAAATGTGGCACTAATAGTAGATACTGGGTGACTATAGAGCAGACTAATCCTTGCTTTGAGTCTCCCACCAAAGAAGTAGAAATCATTACATGATCATTATTTTCAAATCTCCTACAACTGGCTTTCATCTTTCTATTGTTATCCAGTGAGTAGGTACCATGATGTGTTTAGTTGCAAGGTATAATGTAAAGATTTGCCACTCGTATTAGTTTAATAAAATGCTGATTGACCAGTAGCTAGGCAGAAAGTGTAGGCAGGGCGGCCAGACTAAGAGAATTCTGGGAAGAGGAAAGGCAGACAGTCAGTCACCACCAAATGCAGAGGAAGCAAGATGAGAATGCCTTACTGAGAAAAGGTACCCAACCACATAGCTAAACATAGACAAGAATTATGGGTTAATTGTCAGAGCTAGTTAATAGTAAGCCTGAGGTCAAGCAGTTTATGATTAATGTAAGCCTCTGTGTATTTCTTTGGGACTGAATGACTACGGGGCCTGGCAGGACAGAAACTTCCGTCTACAGAAAGGTCATCTTGGGATTCTTAACATATGGCTTCCAGACTATCATGGTCTGTTTAATTGGGTTTTATCTTTTATACAGATCCTCGTGGCCACAATTGCATTTCTTTTACCAAGTGCTGAGTACTCCTCAGTGGAAACAGATAAAAAGGTAAGTGACATGTTGGGTAGCTTTCTCCACAGTTATTTTTAATTATAAGACGGAATGATAACTAATATTACAAATGATGGTGTCATTTACTATATTATATGTTTGCTTTTACGTTTTTCCTATGAAAGCCATTTTTGTTTACTTACTTACCCTGCATTTGTGTGTCCATTGAATATTGAGCAGGGACAATTTTGTTTATTTTTACATGCCATGGGTCCTAAGGGCCATAAAGTGAGATTCTGGATATGTTTCTCTTTCTAGTTTATTGTGTCCTTGCTCCTCTGCCTCTTGGACTGGTGCATGGCTCTGCCTGTGAATGCCCTTCTCCACCCTGTGTCCACGGCGGTTCTGGAGGAGCTGCACCCACCCCGGGCTCCCTTATTGGATTATATATACAGGGTGAGTCTCCTCTAAGCCCTGGGCACATACAGTGAACCTACAGATTAAAAATTACCAAAATGTTATCATTTATGTATTTGTACCTTCTGAAAAGGACCTGTGGAAGGTTAAGTATTTGAAAAGAAATGAATAATTAATGAATAAACAGAATAGATACAATTGTAGGAAGCCAGTAGTTGCCAAGGTGGCGGTGCATACATTTCACATGACCGTCATCTTTAAACACCTGCTGTTTGATCGGAATGCTCCCAGTCTTCATGGCACATGATTTCTGCCTACTTCATTTCAAAATGGATTGTTTATATTAAAGGAGGGTCTGCAGCATCTAAAGATCTGCTTATCAGAGTAAGGGAAAAAACATAATGCTTCTAGTAATCTCTTTGCCTTAAAGAGGCAGGTGTGGTGTTGCATACTTGTAATCCCAGTGGTTGGGAGCATGGGGGCAAAAGGATTGTCTTGAGTTCAAGGCAGCCTAAGCTACATATTGAAACCCTGCCTCAAAATCAGGACCAAAACAAAACTGAAAGAACACAAAGGGGAAAAAAATCCTTAGGACAGGAGTTAAGAAATCTCACTTTGTGAGAATTGAGAGACTTTAAAATCTGTATTCAATTTTCTTTTATTTATTATGCTTTCAAAATTGTATTAAATTACCCCATATAATTCGTGGGTTCATGTGTTGTACTGATTTAAACTCAGGTTGTGGTCACCTTGCCCTCTACCATGAGGGCCTTCCCACAGCTGCCTTTCATCTCTTGGGCCGATTCCTTCCACCTATGTTGCCTTTGGAGGATGATAGACTGAGTTGTGTGCAATCATACAGGAACAGAACCTTTGTACTTGTGTTTTCCATTTGCCCTGAGATTGTAGGTATTGTTACTGACTTGCTTGTAGCAAAAAAATATTTGAGAATGGAAAAAAAAACCAAACATATTTTGGCATGTTCCTAAGTGGGAGTCCTATCTCTCAAGCACTGTGGGGGCTGAATAGTTTGTCAGGGGTCAGGAGGTGGTGGCATACTGAGTGCCATTCCTGTCTGTCCTCAGGTTCTGCACTGCTGTGTCTGTGGCTCAAGCACATACACACAGCAAAGTCACTACACTTTGACCTTGGCTGACTTGTCATCCACGGATTATGACCCCTTCCTGCCTCTGGCAAATGTGAGGAACTCCGAGCCAGTCCAGTACCACTCATCAGCAGACCTGGGGAACCTGCTCACTGTGGAAGATGGTGCGTATGTCTACAAAAATACAATTTTATGAGCATAAGAGATAAGATTGTAGTCTGGTCTGTTCTTGTGTTTTGGGTTTGTTTTTTTTTTTTTTGTTTTTTTTTAAAATCTGCTTGTTGAAGACCCAGCTTATAGGGTCTCTGATGGCAAACCTTCCCAGTTTCTTCTTTTTTCCTGTTGTTTCTCCCACTGACTTTTTCATCCATCCTTATTTAAATGGTTTTGTATTTCTGAAAACTCTTGTCTCATACCTTTGGAATGCAAAAAAAAAAAAAAAAACAGGCTCGTTTTTCTATCCCCAAGAAGTTTTACATCTGTTGGGGGAGACAGTATGACACTGGGCTAATAGCATCTTTAGGACTGCCCATAGGGAAGAATTAAGCTAGACAGAGCAGGGAGGACAGGCTTGGAAGGAGCTCATAGAGTATTCCAGAGCAGAAGTCCCTCATGAAGAAAGCTGGGAGCTTTCTTATCCCACTTGGGATGTGTTTCTGTGGCAGACAAGTCTGTGCTCAGATTGATCAGTGTTAATAACTACTTAAAATAGAAGGAAGCGGGGCGTCAGGAGGTGAAAGGTAAAGCTTTGTATTTCCTCTAGGAATTTAGGGGCAAGAAGATACTTGGGATCCTTTCCTTTTTAATAGTTAGTGGAAGCCCTGAGCTGACTTTGTCACTAGTTGAATCCCGATCATCTTTAGTTCTTAGTGAACAAAAAAAAAAGTGAACTTAGCTGAAGTGTGGCAGGAGGAGAGGCCAGTGGTCCACAGATGCTCCTTTTCCTGACCTCAGTACCAGACCCATTTGGGGTTTTATTCGAAGTGTCATCATGCCATAGTTTGATACAGCTTGAAGACATTCTCCCATTGTAGAATTCAAATCTTCACAAAATACAAACCAAAAGCACAGCCTCTGTGAGCAAAAGCAGAGGGAAGTTGGTTTTCCAACTGATATTGTCTGCTTGGCCTTTGTCATCTTGTACCTTTATCGTTAGTTTTATGCCTGTCCTGCTGTCATGACAACGGCGTGTTTCACATTATGAACTGTGAACTCCCAGCTGGTTTCATGTGGGTCTCTGGGGCAGTAACATTTCATAGCTGGAGCATTAAATTTCTTTGTAGTGTAGAACTCTTATATATATTTCTCTCAGGTTGTGGGAAAAAAATTGAAGTTTAGGAAAAGACATAAATGACCACTTGTGTGACACTTTATTTTCCACTATTCAGAATAGATTTCATGTACATAGAAAAAATTGATAAGAAATCCAAAAAAATCAAGGTGATCTTGTTCTCACTCATTGCTCAGAATTTCCCAAATTTCAGAGATTTCTTTCTTTCTAGGGTTTTTATATAGAATAAAACAATATGTTATATGTAAACTGGTTGGGTAATGTCTAACACTAAAGGTATTGTATATTTATTTTTATAGTTGTATATTTATTATAAAGTTATATATTAATGTTGATTTATGTGCTAATATTTGATTGTTTACATTGTTATTTTAGAAGCCTAATACTCTTTGCTCAAATTATAAACCTTAATTTAAATATTTAGACCTTTTCCATAAAATTTTAAAACTTTCATTTTCACTTGTTATCAAATTGATGCATCCCGTTTGATGCATTTGGCACATTGAAATTTCCTCAACTACCCTCAGCCTGACGCACTCATTTCCCTTTCTAGCTACAACCTTAGTGTGTCTGCCTTTCCACTCCACCTCCTTCTGTAAAGCCCTGCTGCTCAGGCTATGCTCAGAGTTTCACATACTGTTTAAGTTTTATAAATCAGTTGCTCATGGATACTAAATCATCAAACACAAATTTAGTTAAGTTCTCCTAAGTGCCTCCATGATTTATGAATATGACAAATTCTCTTAAATATTTTAAGTGCCCTAATAACAAAACATAAATTGTCACAATGATTATTAAACAAATTTCTTCCAATCTTTAAACATGGCCCTGAGGTTTATTAATGTCCTTCTTAGGTCTTCCTTCACCCAACAGAGGGGTGCCGCAGTAGCCTCTCCAGCCAACTCTCTGGTCCCAACTGCCCCTCCAACCTGGTTTTTACCCTCATCTCAGCCCCCGAACCTTTAACTGTTTAACATGGGGATGCTTCTCTTCTGCTCATTTCTTTATCTGCAGACTTTTTAAAGTCCCTTTCAGAGTGACAGCTTCATGTAAGTTGGTCCTTTAGCAGTCTGTTTCAGTTATCTTCTTAATTTAATAATTTAAGTAGAATTAGTGTCAAAATGAAAAAAAAAACCAGTCTTACAGCTAAAAATCGAACATTCAGCTAGATGTAATGTTTAATCATTTTTAATCCCAGCAGAGGCAAGTGGATCTCTATGAGTTCCAGGCCAGCCAATGCTACACAGTGACACCCTTTCTCCCAAAACAAACTAGCCAAAAAATCAGAATCAAACATTGAAACTATTGACAGAAATCTCATGGTGGCCCCACTATCTGCTCACATTTTCTTCCTGCTGTTCACAGAGAAGAAGAGAAGAAGTGTGGAATTGATCCCCCTTACCGCACGAATGGTGATGGCCCACCTAGTGAACCACCTAGGCCACTATCCACTGAGTGGGGGCCCTGCCATGCTGCACAGCCTGGTCAGTGAGAACCATGACAATGCCCACGTGGAAGGTGCTGAGCTATCCTCGGAGGTGTTCAGGAGCCCAAACCTGCAGCTCTTCGTATTTAATGATAGCACCCTTATCTCCTACCTTCAGACACCTGCAGAAGGACCAGATGGAGGGACTTCAGGGGCTTCCCTTTCAGATGTAAGAGTCATTGTGAGGGATATCTCAGGCAAGTACTCTTGGGATGGCAAGGTTTTATATGGACCTCTGGAAGGCTGCTTGGCACCCAGTGGAAGGAATCCCTCATTTCCAGTTTCTGGTTGGCATCAACACACGTGCGGACCTCAGAAAGATTTGTCTCACAGTGAGGAGGGAGATGACGCGCTTGATAAATTACTTGAAAGCATTGGCCATACAAGCCCTGAATGCCTTTTACCATCACAACTCAATCTAAATGAGCCTTCCCCACCCCCATGTGGGATGAACTGTGACCAAGAGAAGGAAATCATTGAGGTCATCCTGCGCCAGAGCATACAGGAAGATGAGTATGTTCAGAGGTGTAACTCTAATTCTGCAGTGAAGGTCACCAGCCAAAGGCAGCCCTCCCCAGTGGAGCCGCGAGGACCCTTTTATTTCTGCAGGTTGTTGCTTGATGACCTGGGAATGAATTCCTGGGACAGAAGGTAACAGTGCTCTGAATGTTCTATCATTATTGCTATGTGAGGGTTCTTCTTTATATCAGTTTGAAGTTAAAAAATAAGAAATAGAAGTTTTTTTTTAATCAGATTTCAATATTTACAGATTATTTTTAGCTACTGGATTAGAGCTAAAAATAAAACTGAATGTACTATACTGGTATACAGTTTGAGTCCCAAATGCCTGTCAGTCCTTTGAAAGCACATGAAGCATTGTTTTGCTTCCTGTGACCCTGACCACTACTATTTCCATTTTATACAAGATACAAATGGACTGCAAAGGTGAGTGAGCCACTGTCTAGCCACAGGATTGATGAGGGTGTGAACTGGATGCACCTCAGACAAAGGACAGAGTGGCACAGGAAGCCAAGAGGAGCAGTTTGATCCAATGGGCAGTGTGGACGGTGCTGAGACCTCAGAGAAGAGAGTGGGGTTGAGCTGAACCTGATCGTGAAGTGGAGTTTTGAAGATAGGATAGGGAAAAGATTCCCAGAGCTGACATTGAGAATAGACACAAGCACACGCACACAAGGGACATCCTGCTGACTGAAGAGCTTTCCAGTGTCACTAAAAGGCAATGGGTTCTAGTGCAATTGTTAATGTCTCTCCATACTCAAGGATATTGGAGCTCATTTTGAAGACTTGTGAATTAGTTACTTTTCTTTTGCTGTGATAAAACACTATGAGCAAGACATCTTATAAAAGAAAGAGTTTATTTTGGGCATATGGTTCCAGATGCTTAGGGTCCATAATGGCAGGAACAGCAGGTGGCAGACATGACAGCTGAACAACAGCTGAGAACACATATCTAATGTCACTTGACTTTTGAAATCTCAATATCTGCTCCCAGTGGCATACTTCCTCCAGCAAGGCCACATCTCCTAAACTTACCTAAACAAGCCCACCTACTGGGAAACCCATTTCAAATGTCTCATTCAAACTACATTATCTACCACAGTTTTTCAGTGAATGAGATATTAGATGGATGGATGATGGCCGTCTTAGTTACAATTACTATTCTGTGAAGAGAGACCATGGCCATGGCAACTCTTATAAAGGAAAGCATTTAATTCGAGCTGGCTTACAGGTTCAGAGGTTTTAGTCCATTGTTGTCATAATGGGAAGCATGATGGCCCACAAGTAGACATGGTGCTGGAGAGGTAGCTGAGAGTCCTACATCTAGATCCTCAGGCAGCAGGAAATGAGAGACACTGGGCCTGGCTTGAGCTTCTAAACTTCAAAGCCCACCCCCAGTTACACACTTGCTTCAACAAGCCCACACCTACCCCAACAAGGACACACCTCTTCATAGTGCCATTCCCTATGAGCCTATGGGGGCCATTCCTATTCAAATTACCATAATGGCTATGTTTGTTATTGGGTTAGAAAGTAGCGAAGCTGGTCTATGGTCACATGGATCTCTTCTTCCATACTTTTTTTTTTCTTTGTAGAAAGAATTTTCATTTGTTGAAGAAAAATTCAAAATTATTGCGAGAGCTAAAGAATCTGGATTCACGTCAGTGGTATGTGAAAGTATACTAAAATATCTTTCCCTGTCTGTCTTTGTGAGCTCATAGTATCAAATATGGTTTCAGGGAAGAAGGTACCTACAGAGACACCCAGAATATTTCTGTAGCCCAGGATCTGCTGATGTTGACTTGACTAAACATTGGCATTTTATTTTGTTTTGTTTTGTTTTTGAGACAGTGACTCTTCTAAGTTTCCCAGTCTGATCTTCAACATACTCTGGTAGCCCAGGTGGACTTTGAACATGTAATCCTCCTGCCTCAGCCTCCAAGTAGCTGGGATAGTAGGCTTTCTTTAATATAAAAACAAAAACCTCCCATATCTTGTTCTCTTTTAACTTTATGACCCCTTTTTCATTCATTGTTCCTGGTGTGTGTGTACGTGTGTGTGCACGCATGCACGTGAGTGTGTGTGTGTGTGTGTTCTCAGATCAAGTTCTTCTCACAGTATTTTATTCACTACATTTTTCTTTCGTGTGTGTGTGTGTGTGTATACATACATGTATGCATGCAACCTACTGAGTCTACTTGTTGTTGTTTATATGTATTTGTGTTTAAAGGTGACCATTTTGAAGTGATTTCTACAGTGGCTGTACTGTATATTCCCACCAACAATGAATAAGTCACCCCCAACCCTGACATCTTACCCTGCATTTATTTTCTTGATGATAGCCATTGTGACCAAGGTGAGGTAGAATCTTAAGGCAGTTTTAATTGATATTTCTGCATCTAAAGATACTTAACTTATTTAGAGGCCAATTGGATTTCTTCTTTTAAGAACTACCCTGTTGATTAAACTATTTGTTGATTTGGGACTTGATGTTTAATAGTTCTTTACATATTCTTTTTTTTAGACCCTGTATGACTTCAGCTGTAAAAGTTTGTTTTTTCTCATTCTGTAGCTCTCTCTTTAGGGTGGTGATTTTTTTTCCCTCACTGTGCAAAAACCTTTTGATTTTGTATAATCCCATTTGCTAGTAGTTCTTGGAATTATTTCCTCTGCTATTAGAAAATCCCTGTCTATTCTTTTGTCTTGAACTATTGGCAACTTCAATCTAAAATGTAGTCTTTAGTCCATCCTGAATTAATTTTTTTATAGGGTGAGAGATGGGGATCTAATTTCATTTTTCTACATATTAAATAGACTGTTTTTTTCTCCCTTGTGTGTGTTTGGCATCATTGTCAAAAATTAAATGGTTGCAACTAAATGGGTTTATTTTGGGTTCTCATCCATCAACCTGCATGTTTTTGTGTCAGTGCCATGCTGTTTTCTAAGCATGAATTTCACCATCATTTGTGTTCAAGTGGATTTCTTGTGGTTTTATTGTTTATTCGTAAGTAAATGCTTGACTTGTGTCACTATTATTTGCATATCAGGTTTATAATTGTGATATTTTGTCGGTGGTTTTAATTCTTGAACCTAGGTATGACAATAGCAACTAGTAAACTCCACCTGAGATTGGAAAAGCATATGTTTGCATGCACATGTGTGCATGCGCACATACACAAACACACACACTTACCTTTAAGAGGACTTAATGAAGAAATATCTTTGTCACAACACAAATGACACAATCTAGGGGTCTTGATTGGTTCATTTTCTCTGTTAGTTAAAGAATTAAAAAAGCAGGAAAAATCTGAAGCACAACAGGGGTTAGCAGAGAAATCTCAAGCACTGCAGACAAAAATCAGCAGTTGAAGAAAACCATTCATTGGAGGTAAGGAAACACACACGTGCACCAAACACACAGAGAATGCACAGAGAAAAAGACCCTGCAAAATAGAGGGTGCACATGGAAGCTGAAAACCCAGTATCTTCTTGAGGTCTTGGGGTTTTAAAGCCTCGAGTTTTCTTCCCTACTTTAGGGCTGGGAATTTGAAGGTAGACAGGATGGTTGATTGGTCCACAACTGTTGTGTGGCATGTCCTGATCCAACCTTGAACTTGTTGAGCCAGCCCATCAGTAATGGGCCTGATGGGAGGCAGCTGCCAGGCTTTTGTCTCAAGTTAGGAGGTTGAGGAAGAAGCTGACCATCTTAGACATGCATTATCTTTGTTAACTTGCTTCTCTCTCTGCCTACCAAGTGTGTCTCCTTCCTGGTCTCTCTCCAAGGACTCAGCGGATAGAATCATAGTAAGCTTACTTATAGTTATATATCCTTTCGCTCCTTGAGAAGCATTTAGAATAAGATACATTAATTTATATGGGTCATTATGCAGGAATCATAAGGCTACAGTTTTTTTATTCTACTCTCTCATGTATCTTTTTTGTCACTCATGGATTCTTAGAGCCATACAATGTTGAAGTATGTACTTTTATGTTTTCTGAGTATCGGGAATGTGCCTGGGTGGCTGTAGTGAGCCTGACTCCACCTGCAGAAGGCTGATGTGAGGTGCTTACCTCCTGGTAACACTAGTGCTCTGCGAGTGGTAAGCATTTTAGTATCAAGAAATAAAATCCAAAGAAAAGAAAATATGCAAGTTTAAATGACTCATTTGTGGTTGTAACTGAAGAAAGAATTACATCCTTGGGGCAGATCCTGCAACTCCATTGGTACTTTAAATGTTTTCATTTCTTGATTCAAGGAAAACTTAATTTGAATTTCAAAAATGTTTAAAAGTGCTTTAGACCCTGCCATTTCTCTGTTCAGTCTTTCTCTCCTTGCTTTCTCCAGGACAGAGACTGGGCCCTCTGGAAATTCCATGTGGGATTTCTGCAGGGCTCAGGCACTTGTTTCACTCACTCTCATCTTTCGATGTTAAACAAACATTCATTTGGACCCCGAGCCCAGCTTTCCAGCATATGCTGAATTATTCCCTGCTTCTCCAGTGCTAAGTGAATGCACTGGTATCTTGTAATTGTAGCCAATTTGTTGAATGTTAATGCACTCTAGTTGCATGAGGTGCAGTTGAATTAGCTCCCTGGGGTGCTGTTGCAGTAAAATATGGCTTTGGGTAGCTGATTGGCAGTCTTCTGCCCTTTGATTAACCTTCACTTAAAACCCTAACTCTTGGACTTAGGTTGTCTTAGCCTCTAAATGCACATCAGTTCATTTTATGGGAAAGGGCATTTTTCAAGATTGCCTTTTAAAAACCTGAACTAAGTCTGGCGGCTTTTTACCTATGAGAAATCTAGCCTGTGCTATAGATTGGTCTGATGCTAAGCAAACATTGTCCTTCAACTTTCAGGACCTTTCTATTTACTCCCGGTATCAATTTATATTTATATTTATAGCACTGTTGTGCGGGAACAGTGCGTTCTTCGCATGTTTTGAGAAAAAAATAGTCTTGCAGCTAGGTTCTTTATACTATGTGTGATGGCTGGACATACAAAATCACTGTGGTCTTTCTTGCCACTGTGTAGTGAAGGAAATGGTAAAGACATGTTTTCCTTTGTTTGGTTTTTAAAACCTGACAACACAAGAAAATGGAACTATTCTGGTCTGTTCCTAATAAGAAAAAAAAATTCATTCTACTGAGGAAAGCGTGTTGTTGATTTTATGTATGTGTGTTCCTGAATTACCTGCTCCTTCATGTACTGGTTGTGCAGCTTGTAGATATGAAGTGCTGTTGATGTTGTAATTACCATTTCAAAAGCCTGGCACTAATAAGGCCAGGCACAGTGTCTGCATCTTAGCAGACTCTCTGCAGTGCTAATATTTTGGAGGATGTGAAATTTGATGAATGTTTACAACTAAAGGTCACCTTTCCTCACACCCACATCAGTCAGTCCTTCATTTGAGCTTAGCCCTCTGTGCTCCTACACCGAGTAAATGAGCACTCAAGGACCCAGGATGGAAAAATCCTGGGCTTTAAGGATAAAACACTGATGTATTTCAGATAAGCCTGAGGTTGTTTTTTTTGTATGGCAAGTTTATAGAACAGAGAAAATTTGAATGCTAAGGACGTTTACGTATGTAGAGAGAGGGTTTCAGGAAGAAATCAAGTGACTGTGCTTTTGTTCTTTCTGAAACAGCCTTTTAGATAAAGGTTAGGATGTCTGCTACCATCATCTAAGGTGCCAGATTATTACACCTCCTGTGATTAGCCAATCTTTCTGCTCTTTCTGTATTTTCTGATTCTTCTTCACATATATTTATTCCATGAGAGTGATGGGGGGGATGACTAGATAGCGAATAAATAGGAGAAAATGTTCCTCCTCCTGTGATTTATGTAACTTTTTAGTTGAGCTTCAATTAGCCTGTTTAATAAGAAGAAAAATAACCATGAAGAAGGAAATATTTGAGGATTTGTTAAAATATGGAGTCCAGATCTACCAATTTGAATGTCTAATCATATTACAGTGTTGAGATATTAAGCAATTAGACAATAGAAACATTTCCGTATTGTTGAAGCACTTGATGCTTTTTCCTATGCAGTTTTTCATGATGTAATGCAAATGTGAGAAGGGTGGGGCTGCCCAGAAGTGGAGATGTACTTCTGTTACCACTGAAGCTATGACAGAATAAAGCTCATGGACAAAGGTGCTGTCCAGTGAGTGGTTCTTTATTAAGCTTCCTTCATCTGTACAACAGCTGAGCTTTTATCTCCAAACCATCACCAAATTGCTTGATAGAGCATCAGTTATTTTGATACTTTACCATATCATTTGTAGAAACTGGCAATTACATATTCAGATATACTGACTAATATCTGGTCAGTTTAACAGAGACTTAGCTGAGCCTGTACTATGCATCAATTATTATACTGGACGTGAAGAAAAAAAGAAAGATGAACAAACAGGTCTCCTTTCTTCAAAGTGCATATTATGTTTATATGATTTAACAGGAAACTGCCACCAGTCTATCATGGAGCAAGCAAAAGAAGAGATTATATCTCCAAAACAATCTTCCCAGAAGAACTGTCCAGTACATTCGGTGCCCTCAGAATAGAACACATCCTTTCACAAAGAAAATACCCAAATAATGTTGCCATTCTCATAAAGTCTTAGCATGTCTCATTGCTCCTGTCTTGAAACTACCCGTATCCTTTCGTCAAAGTAGAGCAAATGAAATGTAGGTAGATACCTAGTTATGATACGTGTCTACTGGAAATGCTTTAGAACAGTGGTTCTCAACCTTTCTAATGCTGTGATTCTTTAATACAGTTTCTCATGTTGTGGTGACCCCCCCCCACCGTAAAACTATTTTGTTGCTACTTCATAACTGTAATTTTGCTACTGTTATGAATCGGACTGTAAATATCTAATATGCAGGATATCTGATATGCAACACCTATGAAAGGGTCATTTGATCCCAGAGGGATCATGACCCACAGGTTGAGAACCATTGCTTTAGAAGCTACTGTTCTTTACCAATATGGGAAGAACCTGGTGGATGATGAGCTCTGATATCTGCTGTTTTTGTGTCTCTATGTCTGAGTTGTGGTCTCCTGCTTCATTAACCTTTGTCTCCTTTCAACCACCTCTGCAGTCACCTTCAAATAGTGACTGACCCCTTGTGAGGGCCATTAGGAATCATGCTGGCAATAACAGTAATATAAGCGTACATACATATACATATAATTATTAATTCTAACTCCTTTAAATTTGAACATTTATAGCCGTGAGACACACAAGATAGCAGTGTTTTACATTGCTGAAGGTCAAGAAGACAAGTGTTCCATCTTAGCCAATGAAAGAGGAAGCCAAGCCTATGAAGACTTTGTTGCTGGTCTTGGATGGGAGGTAATTAACTTCATTCATTGTGTGGTTGCTGACTATCAGTATGTAAAACAGACCTGAGTTGTGTATGTTCTTAGGTGTATTTTTACATTCAGATGTAGTATGCATAGAGTTCCTGAAGAATGTATTGACCTTAAAATTTAAAATCTTTTGGCTTATTTTCAGTAGTCTATCTATCTGTGGACTTATGCTTCTTCTTAATAGCTTTTCATTTGCTTTGCATCAGAACTAAATAGTCACATGGGCTGAGCTAGCCATGGGTGGCAGTTTATGGCAAAAGTAGACAAATGTGGCCACAACTAAAAAAGAGAACAAATCTAACAGCATGATGTAATAAGAGTTACACGAATGTAGTGTCTCTTTCAAATGTATTCCACTGCACCTTAACCTCTTCACTTATTGAAAACACTTGACGGTGTCTCTTTATCTTAGGTCTATGTAGAGAGAACAAACACAGTACTATTTGTGGTTGCAGGTAACTGCTGAAAGTGTTACAAGCCCCCACATGCAGACACATGCAGACATGGACATACCCTAGACATGAGGGGGAGAAATTAGAGAAATGTACACTGAAGGTCAAGGGGAGGGCTGAGGGGTTTTTGGTGGTTTGGGTTTTGTGTCTGTATATGCTCCAGCACATGCTGGGAACCAAAACCAGGCCTTGCACGTGCCAGGCAAGCACTGTCCTGCTGGGACAGACAGTCCTTAAATTTTCATAGTGGTTTTCATGTGAATAGGGTTGCAGACCAGTTTCATTTTTGCTGTTCTTCATTTCTTTCTTTAAATTTTTAATTTTATATAAATTATATTTATTTGTATTCAGAAGGAAATATATTAAAATGAAAACAGTTTATGTTTTCAACTCATTCCTGCCTAATGAATAGAATAGCTCCCATCTGACCCTCGCCTTTTGCTCTGTGACCTTCATCAGGTGGATCTCTCAACCCACTGTGGGTTCATGGGTGGTCTTCAGCGCAACGGCAGCACAGGACAGACAGCCCCTTACTATGCTACCTCAACTGTGGAAGTCATTTTCCACGTTTCCACTCGGATGCCATCAGATTCAGATGATTCACTCACCAAAAAGGTAAGGCAGCTCCTTGGGGACAGCAGCTCCCTGCACTCATGTGCAGTCGGGGCTCTCTGGGTTTGGATGGTGACCAAGCCTGAGCACACACTGAGGCTGCTTTCCCCAGGCCTCAAAGTCAGGGTCACTCTTCCTCCAGCCATAGTTGTGTTGGATCTAAAAGGTCAACTTAGCAACACCTTAAACCCTGAACTGAAGGAGAAATGTACCCCAAAAATCAAGGGGAGGGCTGAGGAGTTTTTTGGTGGTTTGGGTTTATGTCTGTATGTCCTCCTGCACATGCTGGGGACCAAAGCCGCAAGCACTGTCCTGCTGGAACAGACAGTCCTTAAATTTTCATAGTGGTTTTCATGTGAATAGGGTGGCAGACCAGTTTCATTTTTGCTGTTCTTCATTCCTTTCTTTAAATTTTTAATTTTGTATAAATTGTATTTATTTGAAATCAGAAGGAAATATATTCAGAAGAAGGGTTTGCTGGGTGGCTACTTTGGCTCTTCCTCCACGTCAGTTACCTGAGAGAAAATAGTTTTACCTCAGATTGGCAAATGCCACAGCACATAGTGGCCTTTATGACAGAAGTGCTGGGAAATCTCTGGGAAGGCATCCTCCCCACCCCCCAGTGTTGCTAGAGTAAGCTACTAGATTTTGACAAAGTGACCTGCAGGTGTGTTGCTGCCCAGATGTCCCACCTTAGCTGCTTCTCCTTTGTTCTTCATCACCTTTCACCCTATGGGTGGTTTCTGCTGAAGTTCAAAGGAAAACCTTATGCCCCCAGAGGAACTCCCCAGCCTGCAGAGTGTTTACTTGAGGGGCCCTATTTTTTTGTTGAGGAACTCATTAATGGGATAAAACTGTAGTCTGGTAAGGAAACCACTCCTGTAGGTTTCTAGGTGAGAGGGGCATCCTAGAGCTATGGTGATGTATGCTGACCCTGTGGGCTAGTAGGTGACAGAGTCTACATTCCCACTTCACACCCGCTCTCCTACAACAGTGCAAATGTAAGGAACTGAGGGCAGTGCCTCAAGTGCTGCCTGAGGCTGTACACTGGCAGTTTGGCTATATGGTTGGAACTAGGGCCAGACAGATCTAGGCTCAAATGTGCGTCTCACCACCAGCTTGTACCTCAGTTTTTCATGTATTAAATAAGACTGAAAATGGAGTCATGGCACCATACTGTTGAGTCAAGTGAGATGGTGCTTGAAAAACTGCTTAGTGTGATACCTAGTAGGCATTCTCTGGCCATCGCCCTTGTCATCGTCCAGTGGTGTAATTGGTTCTTTTTCTCTGCCCCATTAGCCACATGATTGATACTAGCTCATGGACCCAACTGTATCTGCTTCATTTCTCTTGTCTCTGGTTTTGCCTTTTTACCACTGTAGCCCCAGATGTCTGGGCTGCATACATGATGAACAAAGTGCATGGGAGACATTATCAGAACTCGGGTCACAGACAATTTCCATAGTGATCAAGTGTCTCACATGCACAAAGCACAATTTGCATTCAGGAACTCAGCAGCCTTTCACCCACATAGCCCTGCATACTACCCTGGCCTCCCTGGGCTGGGAACCTCACAGCTAGTGGGAGTACAAGCCATGTGCTGGTTCTCACAGGTGTGACAGAGCTGCCTGGCCATCTTGGGTTCTGATGACTACAGTGTTCATAGAAAGGAGAACCCTGCTATCTGGTAGCTCACTGAATCTGGAAGCTTCCAGAATCTGGGGTTGTTGGGCTATACTCGCATATTTTGTTTTGTTTTTTAATTGTGGGTACCTTGTAAAGTCTTCATACTCTGCATATTGTCATATTGCATATTTTTGTGACTGACAATTATGTGTTAAAGATAGATTTGTATTTAAACTGTCTTGAAGTATTTCTTAAATATAGAAGCTTTTTAAAGTTTGTTTTTATACTGTTTTCTTGACATAATGCTGCTATAAATAATGTCCCGAGGCTTGTTCTTGACCCCAACTGTAATAATCAAACAGCAGCTGAAACCTTGCGCAGTGCTAAGATTTAGCATCATTAACGATAAACTCCCTTTACCAGGATGTCTCCTAGTTAGGCAGGGAAATTAGTCACATAATGGCAGCCCCCGGTTCCTTGACTTACTCTAACTAAATTGTCCCTAACAGCTTAGAAATGAGCTGCAAAATTCTAAAGTGATTCATGCTCTGTTCTGCCCTTGTCATGGGGGGACTTTTTCAATTCTGCAATCCCGTTGCAACCCCATACTGAACTCTTGATCCTTCACTGCAGAAATTTGTTAGCTCTAGCTAGATTAGATTTTTCACAGCTAATCTAACTGCTGTAGGGGTTTGCAGAGTGGGGACAGAGCTGTGCTATTGGATTTGTCCAATTCATTTGACTCCAGGACTATAATTGCACTTATGTCTTACAAGGCTTTTATAGCCTCAGGCTGGCCAGCCACATGAAAAACAAATTGGCAGTGATACAGCGCGAGTGAAGGGGATGAAAGGCCCACATTATCAGTCTCCAGGCAGCTCTGTTCTGGCAGGAAGTTTCTTGGTTAATTTACAAATAAAACTTAGATTTTAGGATGGGCACACTGTCAGCTGAACAATGGGGATGTCAGGCTTGACTGTTACTTAGTAAAAGTAGCAGCCGGGCCCACTGAGGAGCCCAGATTCTTCAATCAAACAGACGACTCCTTCTGGAGCCAGCTGGCGATGTAATGCAATTAGTCGGGAAAGGAGGTCAGCCTATTAGGTGTGGACCATGACCGGTGTCACCAGTGGCGTGCAGGCGTGTAGCCTGGCAGCAGCAGGCAGAACAGCTCGGGCAGAGGAGCTTTAGAACTCTGTCAGGACCAAGGATGGCAGGACATGGGATTGATTTCTTGAGGCTCAAGAGCCTGTTTGTTCTGGGAAGAGAAGCCTTGAGGCCTCTGGAGTCTTGCATTGTGGAAGCAGAAGCCCACATGAATGCAACTCCTATTCTAGCCCTCATCTCCTCCTGAAGACGCATGCCTCCTGTCAAGTTGACTTGCCCCCATGCAAACTTGTGGGTGCATTTTTAAGGGCCTCTAATCAGAGTTCTGTAAAACTCATAAAGTGACATTGAAATTGAAATCCCCTTTGAATTGAGTACCACTTTACGTTTCTAGAATATTCCATTATGTTCTGATATACTCTGATGTGTGTAGTTTGTCTATACCAGTTTTACATACTTGGGCTCTTCTTATAGGCACAAGAGGTGTAATTTTTGTACTTTGTTCTAGATGTATCAGTCAATTGGTCCTGTGGCCTAAGCTCTTGGTTTTGTGGTTTAGTTAATTAAGCTGTAACATGTCCAGAAGTCTGAGGTGCCTGACACTGAAAGCAGCTCTGAGAATGGTGAATATTACAAAAATAGTTCTTCCTTAATTGCAGAATTGCCACATTGGAAGGAAGGGTCAATCAGTGTGGCACTGCTCTCCCATGCTAGAGTTTTCTCAAAATACTGCTGCAAATAAAATTAGGAAGGGTTTACTGGGGATATGTAATTGAATAACACAGTTTAGAAAGGAGTAGAGTAACTGCAAAATTTCAATAATCAGTGTATCATTCAGAGTCTATTCTGCCCTTGTGGATGAAAGGAGAGACTATAGGTTTTGGGTGTGGCATTGGGTGGTAGCAACAAGGTTGATATTTGGTAAATGGGTTGTCTCCATTCAGTCACTTCTGCCAACATCCTAACCAAGAGTATAGGGCCAGCTCTCTTTGTAGGATAGGGGCTGTAAGCTGAACTCCAGAATAACTCATTTCTTAACTGTTAGCTCCTATTGCCCAAAATTCCTCCCAAAGTTTCAATTAGATCTACATTTACCATGGAAACCTGTCCATCTTATCTTGTTAGCAACCCTAGCGCTCATGCTGTCACTACAAAAGGACTAAGTGGCAAAACAGTGTCACAAGGTCTTTGGAAGCCCTGTAAGAAATGGGAAACGCAGACAGGCAGAAATCTGAGCTAAGAATGGCTGGAATGTAACTCAGAGAGTAGCAGTGCAGAGCTACTAAGGCTCTAGGTTCAACCCCCAGTACTGCAGAAAGAACAAACGAAAAGGAAAAGTGGGCTAGAGGGACACCTTCAGCCATGAGTGTTCAGTGTCTTAAAAAGAAAAGAACAACAAAACTTCTATGCTGGAGCTGGGTTGGCTGAGCTACGGTTTTTCCTTTTCTGCCTGCTACCCTGGGAGCCTTTAATACTAGTGTCGGGGTAATGATGGAGTGAGGAGAAGAAGAAAAAAGATGCACTGGTTATGCTTGCATTTACAAAGTTGTTGACTCCATTCAGTTGTCCTGGATCATCATGACTTGTGCTGGGCCTCTGAAGTCTGGGCCTTCCCTTTCTGGAGCCACTATTCAGACACAGTCGAATCCCATACCTTACTCCATATAGCACAAAGGTCTCTTTCTAAGTAATTAATGGATACAGTCACTTCCAGAAGGGCATGGGTGAAAAAGAAACAGGCACTGCAACAAGCAGCTGCCTTTGTAACTGGATGACTAGAAAAGAGGCCGTGCTTGGGTTACCGTGGGTGTTTCCCTGTATAATCAAATGGTTTCTAAAGAAAATGAGGTCCATACTAACATGTTTCAAATATGCGCACTATCCCAGAATATGATTTTTTTTTATATTTTTAAAGGTAAGACTAGGACATATGCTCTAATATAACATCTCAGTTTTATTAAGGTACTTTTAAGTTTGGTCACTTATACCGTCCATCTGTTACATGAGCAAGAATTCTTGCTTCTGTTGCTGGATAACATTCCCTGATGCAAGGCAGAAACCTCATTCCCCCAAGGCTTCTAAGTCCCTGGTTCCGCCAGTCTTTCCAGCTTCAGAACTTCAGTTTGGGCCAATGTTTTCACCACTGTGGTCTGTTTTCCCTTTAGTTATCTTCTAGGCCTTCTTGAATGATTTCTTTGCAGCTTTCTCCAGATTAGCTTTGTGGGGTTGCCACACAGGCAGTTGATCAGTGATGTTCTTGTATCTAGTAAGATTTCTTCTGGAAGAGCATGTAAGGGTCTCTAGAGACCTTCCTACAACCTTCTCAGAGACACCAAGAGTCTGGGTTTTTGGAGTTTATAGTCAGTCTCTTTATTTATAAAATGTCAAAATAAGTGAGCTAAACTACTTGAGCTATAGCAGTAAAATAGCTTTTGATGTAAGCTGAGATCAGGAATGTTCAACTTGCAGTCCCAAATAGCTATGAATGCAGCCCAACCCAAAACTGTAAATTTATTTATAACAGTATAAGATTTGTTTGTGTGTGTGTATGTGTGATTTTATTTATTTATTATAATTCAATTATATGGGTTTTAGTGTAGTGTGTGTGTGTGTGTGTGTGTGTATGTGTGTTCTCATAGTCTCTGGTCCTCTCTCCCATGATGTTCTGTGTACTTGACAGAGCATTCCTGAGCAGGTATTTCTTGTATAATAAAGATGGAGTTATATAAAATCAGTGGGAAGGGTAAATGACATTTTATGTGAACATTTTGGAAATCTTTAAGTGCTGGGTGCTAGTATTCCCACCAAATTTAAGTTTTAATTTAAATTAAATCTATTTATCTCCTTAAAAATATAATTTCTTATATTCTTTTTCTCAAAAAATTATCTCAAGACCAGTTCTCACACTTTTGTCAACTCTTGTGTTGGAGTAGCTTGTCTTACCTTATGTTGTTATTTCTTAGTAGCCCGCTGGATTAAGAGGTTTAAAGATTTAAAGTAATATCTAAATAAAAAAATGAATGTCATTTAGTTGCTGAGAAACATTCTCAGCACTGTAGCGTAGGACTGATGTAGAAATAGAATTCTGTGTAAAAGGAGACCTCAGAGAGGTCCCCTCCGTCCCACTGGAATGTGCCCTTGGGCTTCTGTGTGTGATCTTAGAACCAAATGTGCATCCTGGCAGATGGGCTGGAGTTTCATGAAACTGTACGTTTTAGAATTCTCACTTAAGGCATCAGTGCAGTAGCCTGATTTAGGACTAAAATACTTTTGGCCTCCAAGTTTTCTAATTCAATTTATAAGCCACAACCCCTCATAAACTGTTGTTACCACCTCGGTTAATAAAGAGCCAATTTGCTATTGCAGCTCCGTCACCTGGGGAATGACGAGGTTCACATCGTCTGGTCTGAACACTCCAGAGACTACCGCAGGGGTATTATCCCAACAGCCTTTGGAGACGTTTCGATCATTATTTACCCAATGAAGAATCATATGTTCTTTATCACGATAACAAAGAAACCTGAGGTATGCTTTCTCCATTGTTGCCCTGACTCCTACATTTTCCACTGGATTCATGTCCTCAAAATAACTGATAAATGTCCTACGAGTGTCAGAACTGTGTATGCTAGATAGGAATTTCAGTGAACTGTGATTCTCAAAAGAACTCTAATCATAAACACAAAATTTCATGTGTTATTTGAAAATTATGTTAGAAAAATGTATGGGATTTTAAATAATTTTAATGCTTTGAAATGTTATAATTTTAAGAATGTCATAATTTTTTAACTGTGGCACATTATTAATAATAAGTTATGAAGCTGCATTATCACATGGTTATTTGGGGAATAACCGTGGGTCTAGAGTCCAGCCCTGTCTAATGCATGGGCATTGGTCACTGAACCCTGACTGGTGATGTGAGGTCAATCCTGAAGGATTTTGGACATGTCCACAAAGACACTGGGGCCCTGAAGCACAGCCAACATGATGAGTATTAGCAATCAAAGCACCTTGCTACAGAATCAATTCAGCCATGTCAATTGGTATTGATCACAGGGCTGGCTGGAACAATCCAATGGTCTATGTTCTGTGTACTAACCAGCTGTAGTTTCGATCCTTGTCATGCCTTTACTGGTATTTTAACACTGCTTTGTGTAGTGACTTATTTTACTTTTAATTCATTAGGAAGAGTATTCTTAGGTTTGAAATTAAACATATTAAGCATATAATCTACTCTTTAAGAAAAAAAAATGACTGTTCTTTTCAGCTTGATATTAAATATAATATTTATTTATACCCCAAAATCATTTTCCTGAAGGAGCTCATCATTATTCTAAGAACTTTTTTTAAACTTTAAAAAAAAAAGTCATGAGAATTGTTGTATTAATTCAGATTTGCAACCTAAAGTTATATTATGAACATTGGACGTGCTAACAAGTGTAAAAGAGCTCCAGACATTGCCTGGCATCAGGGTAAAGGCTGCTTCTCTGTTTGCCATGTGATTGTTAGGGCTGCCATCAGGTTTTCTTATATAGTTAGTATCACAGAAATAAAATCAGTAGAGTTCTAAGTTTAACATATGTGTTAATTCTCCATTGTGTGGGCGTTATCGATCTAGGAAGGCCTAATGAAAGGGGGAGTTCTCTCTCTGTTCATAGAAAGAGGTCAGAATTCATATTAGATGTTTGTGTTTCTCTGAGTCAGACCCCTGTGAATGTCAGGTTTTCAGTTTTGTGCTGTAAGAAAAAATGGCTCAGAAAAAAAGAAAGAATAAAATATGAAGGTGACCAAGAAAAAAAAGAAAGAAAATGGCTCAGTGCTAGCATTTACATTTGCCCATGAAGAAAATTACTTATAAGAATTAAAGTTATAATTTTAATCTTAGAGAAGCAATAGATTTAGTCCTTTTTTTGCTTTTAAAAATTTGTCTTTTATATGTATGTAGTGTAGAACTAGTTTCATTAGTTCGTTTTCAGGATGGTCCTCTAAAATGTCATAATGTCCTTAAAATGCCCTTCATTTTCAAAGTGAATGAAGAGCATAGAAAGCATTTCATTTCACTGTGCTGTGTCAGAAAATGGCATTTCTCCAAGTAGCATAAAAAGTCATTAATATACTTTTTAAATTTTCCAACAAAATATGTGTAAGATAAACTTGGTCATCAATTCTGACAAGATGAATTGAAAAAATTAGTTTCCTAACATTTTAACTCAAAAAAGCCTAAAGAGGAGAAGAGAATAATAGGGCAACTGAAAACTTAGTATTATCCCTACATTTAAAGTACAAACCATTACAATGTAATAAAATTAATCCAGACATTTCCAGGGCAAGTGTAGCTGACCTTTTGTTCACCAACCACTGACCCCAGGGTGAATGCAAGAGGCTTTCGGAGGGAAAGTCTGTTTGTTTGGCTTCAATCCCTGGTATTTAAATTGCATTCCCTAATCAAATGAAAAGGCTGTCCTCTCTATCAGGTTACAGAATCCATGGCAACATTTGGCCTTTTATATCCATAATGTTAGCCTTTTTGTTTGCATCTAAGTAGAGACACCTGGAGCAATGCTAACATTAACCGATTTAGCATTAATAGCTTCATTATATAAGAATTTCTGATCAGATAGCTGTTACTTTTGTTATATTGCTTCAGCTTGTATTGTTGTCATTTTTTATCTCCTTGCTTGGCAACCAGGCAATGATTTGCAAATTTTTTTGTCTTGATTAATTAAGCAATATAATTATCAGTAACCGTGATGCAGTCTTTGCTCAACAAAGCTTCTGAGAGAAAACAATGGTAAGTCTGTTAGTATGAATGCATTCCACGCGTCCCAGATGCATGAGGATATTATGGACAATGAGGGGAAAGGCCGCCTGTGAGCGAGGACAAAGGGTGCCACGCAGACTCGACACACTGCACATACCGCCAGGGACATGCTGCGGGCTCCCTGGGACACAGACGCCTCGTTAGATTACAGCTAGTCAGCAGAGATTAATTCTCAGCCATTTGGCGCAATAATTTACCCATTCCCCAGTCTTTTAACTAGTGCTTCTTACTATGGAACTGAAGACTTTGTACTCAAAGGTTTACTTAACCTTAGCTACTTTTAGGCATCTCCAACAAAATCATTATTTTTGTTTAGAGATTATACTAACACGACTGCTTGGGTTGAAGAATATTGCTGTAAGAAGATAGACTAAGCAAATGTTTCAGAAATTATAGGTGGAATCAGCAACAGTCTTTTAGCACCTGTATATTTCATATGAATACAATGTGACTCTAGCTTAAATATATTTATTTTACTCATTTCTAGGCAGCCATACTTCTCTAAGAATAATTTTAATCCTTTTTTGGAGGGGGGAAAAACTCATCTGTACACAAAAGTCCTGCTCATTGGATAGAGTCATGCATATTCAAATTGTACTTTCATTCACTTGGCCTCATTAATAGCCTATGTAATAATGTAGGGCTATTTGTAATACAAGCTCACAGGCAGCATTACTTCCAAGTCCTTTGAAATTTAACATATTTCTCTTTTTCATTCCATACACCCTCTTTAAATATACAAATTATGTGCCTGGCAGAATCCGCCCCCTCTTAATAATGCCCCGCATTTGTAAAATGGTACATTGAAAAAGCATGGGTGTGCTTTTTTGAGTGCACAAAACCCTCATGGCTGAGAGGGTCTGCTCACTTTATGAACGTCGTACTGAACCTCTGCTTTTTTCTTTTTTTAAAAAAAAAAACTGTGTTTTACAGCATTATTTCATTGTTGATTTCCAAATAAGTCCATTCCCATCTCCATAAATATTGACACAATAAAATTTTGATCATAGAAAAGAAATATGTGATTATCAGATTTACATTTTTTGCCTACTTTCATCAGTCAGCCATTCAAGTTTCCGTGACTGTCCATGGGTGCTGTTGAAGTGGTATCTGGTTCTCTTGTGGCTTCATGGGTGTGTGGGGTGGAGATGCGTGTATGCATGCAGATGTATAGGAATGTACCCCTCTTCCAGATGATACCTAGCTCAGGACCTCTGTCTGGAGCCAGCAGAGGACTGATGTGCAGGAAGTCACAAGAGCATTTAAGCACTAAGGGTACGAGGAGTCCAGTTTGGGCATCTGTGTTTTTGCGAAGAAGTGTTTTAAGCTTGCTGGAGTTGCCCCATTATACAGGGAGTGTGCTTGCCTTTGCTGCATGGTTTTGAAATTTTCTCTTGATTTCATATTATAATTTCTTAAATATTTATCTTAATATCAGCCAAATAATTCTTCAGAGATTCTATCATTTACTTTAAAATATTCTAGAAAATTCTCAAGGAAGTAAATTAACTTTGGAAAATACTAAGATTATTTACTTTAAAAAGATCATTGAAAATACCAAAGAACTGGTTTTCTTAAACTAACTTATTAATGGATTGCTTCAGTGTGTTCAGTTTAGGTTATGTATTGTTAACACTGATTTTAGTAAAGAAGTGGTGATGAGAAGTAGCAAAAAGGCACCTGCTTGTCGACGTTTTAAATTCACACTTTCTTACTAATACACTGCGCTGCTAATTAGAGGAATTCCCTATGTAATATGGATTTACATTATCCCTTTTGTCCAGTTTGTAAAAGATTGAGTCACTCACAAGCAGGTGCCAAAGAATAGAGAACATTTATTTTACAAAAGGGCCTTGATGCAGACAGAAGAAACCCACAGCAGCACCATTATTAACTTACCTCCTACCTCACAGGAATTTGGCTTTTGAGATCCCCTTTTCTACTGCTTTTCCTTAGAAGTTGGCACCATTCTCCTCTTTCTTACTTAGCCCTTGACATATTTGTCTTCCCTTGTGGGTTTATCACCCTTCCTTGCTGAATGTACACCACATAACCAACTTCAGTCCAGGCTTTGTGCCAGGAAGCGAGCTCTCATTCTCTACTCCTGAGCTACCACAGTGGGAAGAGCACTTGACCCAGGAGACAGGACATCTCCAGGCCCTCTCAGTGGCTTCATAAGGTCCTGCATGTGTGTACACCTGCTGGCTCTTTAGCCTGACAAAGGAAGGGGGTGTTGGAACTGTGCTGGCCCCCACTGTGAAAGGAAATAGCCCACTGCATGGGAAGTATATTTGCTAGACTAAATTAGAAATTTAATACTTTGGTTTTCGTTTTGTTTTGTTTTTCTTTCTTCTATGTTCTTCTTTAGTATAGGCATATAAGGAAGAACAGTTAACTTTTTATTTTTTTTGAGACAAGGTATCACAGAAATCCACTTGTCTCTTTCGTGTGTGTGTGTGTGTGTGTGTGTGTGTGTGTGTGTGTCTGTCTGTCTGTCCTTGATACCGGGGCCTAGCAATGTGGAACAGGCGGTAAATATGTGATGGAATGATTGAAAGAGTTTTTCAGTAGGAATGAGTATCACAGAGCAAAGGAAACAGAGTGAAAGGATAGGTGGTACAGAGGCTGCTTTTTTAGTTTGTACCAAGGACACCAGGACATAAGCCAAAAACCAAACAGGAAGTCTTAGGGAAGACATCAGGAGACA